CTTAAAGGGGCCCTGCAAGGACTTTTTACTGGTTTTTAATTTGCGCTGAACCTGAGCGCACTGGACGTTATAACTTAGTGAAATTTTTATTTTCTCGAAATTCACTTTATTTTAAAAGTTATAGGCAAATTAGAATTATAAAAACCAAGCAAAAAATAACCTCCCCCATGACGTCCTTGGTTGCTTGAGCGGCCGTGAATTAGAGGAGGGGTAGTGGGCTCATCGCGAGCGCTCACGCCTGCTGCACTCCGTGTCGACAGCGCGAGAGGGCACCACTAACTCATGTTCTGGATAGGCTGTATGCGGCGGGCAGCCAGAGCGGCTCTCATTGCATTTGCTGCGCGATTAAAGACTAATTCGGCATGACACTTCATTGGCCACAAACGACAGCAAACACGGGGTAAAGATCAGTTCAGAATGGGAGCCACTTCGCGCTGCCATACCGCGAAACGGCCAAACCGCAAGGCAAAACTTCTCGCCGAAGGCCTTCGGAACGCTCGGAGCCGGTCGGATCCTCCAGTCCGTAAATGACCACAGCGCCGCCGCATACATCCGGGACCTTTCCGTGTCGGCGGCTGATCCCACTACTCTTTTCTAGTATGCGTCGCCTTTTCCACCGCTTGGTGGCGGGCATGTCGACGGGTCATTTCTTGTTTCCGTACTTTATAAACTGCATTCGTTTCTTTTCGGATCTAAAATACTGAACAAAAACTACTTTTGTAAATAATTGAAACAGTTCGCGCCGCTTATATTTTGTATTTCGACTAAAAAGAACCTTTTAGCGGCTCTGACCAGTAGTAAGCCCAGGACCTAAGACGTCACATTTTGCACACTTTCGGTACCGCGGGTCGCCCCCGTCGGTGAAGGAGGTTTCCGCCTCGTCCGGTTAAAATATGACGCACTAATATTTAGTTACTCTCTCCGTGCCCGCTGGCTTGCCCGAACCCCAAGAAGCGTGGGAACCGCAAAAAAGGTAGATGCTTAAATATGATTGCAGGGCCCCTTTAAACTATACCTTAAATTTACAGTAATTCTTTTTTCCAGATTGTTATAAGTGATTGGATGGATAGATCAATCAATCTGCCATGTTTAGGAATACATGCAGAGATAAAGAATTATTATATTCTAGCTAGAGTGATTTAAATCAAATTAATCGTTTTTAGCAGATTTAAAAAGTTGCTATTTTTTTCCATTTTGTTTGGAACACTATTTGGTGTAAAAGCAGCATTAACCTCAAGACCTAATCTGTGACTAAAGGTATCTAAATCGTGCGGGTGCAACTCCAGTGCATACAGCCGATGAAAGAGAAAAGAACATGCGAAGATGCCAACAGCAGTGCACCAAGCCTTCCGGAACTACTGCAGCAGAAAACGTGACCTCACCCTCATTTTGATGCTCGAGCCTTTCAGGTCACATATTGGTGAGCCTTTCACCAATGGGTGAGCTGCAGCTGTTAGTGGGCACTTTAAATAAACAAATAAAGACATCCCAAGAAGGCAGCATCACGGTGAATTGTATCTGTTACAATCAATGTCAACTTGGTAGCACTAGTGTGCAATATGCTGGAAAGAAATTTGTTTTAAATGTTGCTTTTTGGTGGATTTTGTTTTTTTCCCTAATTTAAGAAAAACAAATAATTGGTGTGCATTTATGTGCACTTTCTATCTTATAATATCCAACATCTAAAGACTGAAAATGCAAGTTACAGGCTCAGACATGAAACACTTCCTACTAAGTACGATATTTAAAAATGTTTTTCCTTAGATAATCCGCACCCACTGCCGAGTAAGCACATGAAAAAGTCTCATATGCAGCCTATCTTTACAAAATCTTGCTTTGTTAGTTCACAAAAAAGCTTGTATTATGCATAAATCATCATTAAAATACCGCAATTCACGAAATGTGTCATATCTTGTCATAATGAATGATCTTAGGGTAGCCTGCACCCTAAGATCGTTTATTCAAATTTTACGCTTTCAAACATGCATAGTCCATGGACTATGACTGGAAAATATGGTAACACATGTTTAACCCGCATGAGGCACACACTACAGAAAGCATTTCAGAGTCGCTGGACAAGCGAAACAAAATTTCACATTAGTGTGGCATTGAACGTCACTCCCACTTCTTGGTACAATGATACAAAACTCACACAGGGGTCGTTCCCATATGGTCTGCAACTCTACAACTCGCCCATGGCATGCAACTCATGAAAATACACTTTGTGATTGAAGACCACGCCTCGAAAGTAGCTCCATTAAATATTTTGTCAAAATGTTGTTAATGCTGAACCGCTTCAATACACCAGCAGCCAATAAACTTTTTTCCAGTTTCAGTTATGGTTTAGTTTCCTGGAAAAGTTCTGCTCTTAAATGACTTTTGGTTTGGCTCGTGTCCCTGCGTAAGCCATTCTGTGCCCATTTCCATGGCTAGATATCTAAAGCAATAGACCCTTGCCAGCTTCAAGGTTCATCATGTCCAATGATTGGATGTCCAAACAATGCCCAACAGAAGGAATCTCCGTGGGGGGACGTTCTCAAGGAGGTTTCTGTCCAGCATAGAGTACACGGTGCTGCAACCTTGTTGTGAACCTGGCATGCATTCCCAAAGCAAATACAAAAGAGATCATCTAAATTTTTTGCATTTTAGTTTACTCCAATAATTAACCTGAGGTTTGTAAGGATACTTCACAAAAAAGGTATCTCATACAAGCTAACCGACTGTTACCGAAATTAGAGGAGGTGTGTTATATTTGCTCTCCGTAAAGGGGTTTTTACTAAGTGCAACATGAGAGAACACTGTGCAGTGCTGATTGTTGGGCAAATTGGTGCTGGATTTGAGAACACATGGCAGTGCTCGAAGACCAGGACAAAAGAAGAACTACAGGGGCAGCACTGCGCATCAACCTTCAACTGTAAAGGAAAAGAACTGGACACCGCTGTGCACTAAATTCCAGCTATGTGAAACAGTTGAAGGTTAGCAAACAGTGGAGTCCAGTTCTCCTTTTAACCTTGTCTTCAAGCACTACCGTGTATTCTCAAATTGACAAAACGAGTCAACGGAGTGACTTCAAGATTGCTGCCATTCCCAAACATAAGGTGTACTTAGGTGGAAGAAAGAGTAGTACGGTGACATGCTGAAATCTAAGACGGAGCTGTACGAGTCACATGCATCATCATGCAACACCTAATATGAATCGCATGTGTCCTCTTTTCGGTCCTCCGCCAATACGAGCTGCAACATGGCACAATGTGTGGCATGATCTATGCGGCACTGGGCGAGCAGTGTTACGAACAACCAACGTAAATGCTCCATAAAGGTGAATGAGCAACGAGGACGAGACCGAGGACAACCATGCAGACCGTTATTCAACTCTTCCAGGAGCCCAAGGGACGCCTTGCCAACTGTAGTGAACTCTGCACCGCGGGACATCTGTCACTCTCTTCTAACCCGTTGTGTATACCTGAATGCTCCATAACAGGAAGAAGTGGGACTGGTGGAAATCAAGCCCCCACAGTTTTATGCGTTTCCGGCCTGACCGTCCCTGGCTTCCAGCCAGACGTCTATCAGGCGAACAGAGGCCCCCCACCCACTCCCACAACTGGGAACACTTATTAAAGTTGTTTTCCACTGAGTCGGCACTCGTTGTTTTTCCAACTTTCTTTTTTTATTTGTTTGGAACGGTGCACGACTGCGAGCCAGCTGGATCCCCGCCCCCCTGTGCCTGTACGCCATTTCAATGACGCGCTTTTCTCACTCGCTTGTCCTTCTACAGTGTGCAATAGCATTGGTTTATTTATGAGGCCAATGTATAATGTATAACGTGCCTCGGGGGAAAATGTAACTAAAGTAAAAGAACGCGGTACGATTAGGACGACGTCGATCTGTCGGCGATTGCGGGGCTGGGCGCGATCGCTCGACGATTCGAAATGCTTGCCCCGGTCTGGAGTCTGCTCGAACGAAATGTGATAGCGTTCGACGGGTAGGGTTTGAGCTTCCGGCCCCGACTCGCGTGCAGGGTTGAAGAATGAGAAAATGCGGCGCACGGCGAGACAAACCAGGCCTCTGGACACGGGTAAAATACTGCGCGCTGTTGACACGAAAGCCGCACGATGCGGGGAAAGTTACGCAATCACCTGCGTCACTTTCTCCGACGCTAAACACGTTCCGTCAAAACTTTATCTGGGAGGAAAAAATAAAACCTTCGGTGGAGCAAGTCGGGTTCCTGCTCCTGCACACCGAGTATGGTCCCCCTACACGAACTACACCGTTCTTTTTGAGTTGTGCGAGCCGCGTGTACCCCCAACAGCCGTGGGCCTAAGGTAGCTGTAGCCCCGTGGTAGATTTCCACCGTGGCCCCCCCTTTCGCAGAAAGCGTCACAGTGTTGCGACAGCACCCCCCTCCACGAGTCCACAACGCGAGAACGCCCCGCGGGTGTAGAGCGAGCGCCCTGCTCCGTCTGCTCCGTGTCACGAACACAGGTGACGCTGACTCATAAGCAGCAGCGTCGGGAGCGAACAGACGGTCGCCGGGGCTTGAGTGCGGCGTTCAGAGGTCAGAGAGCGAGCTTCCGAGGGTCCCAGCCTGCCACTACCGTGGTGTTGGCACTACCCGTACCGACGAGCTCTCTCCGACCTCGTTTGCTCGCTCGCGCCCTGACCTTCAAGGAGCTCGCGCGAGACGGGGGGCCACGTGCTCGCGGCGGAGCGTTCGCCCGTCTGCTCTGTTCGCGTGACGCCGCGACGCCGCCGCGCCCGCCGACGACAACCCGTGACAAGGGGTGCTGCCGAAGGGGTTCGGCCACGGAAGTTCCGAGCGCTCGCAGGACTCATCTCGGAGACGGTGCATCTCGGACGGCCTGTCTATATTTGGAGGTCGAAGCGCGCAACAACACGGTCCCGCTCCTACGCGGAACATACGGTGCACTCGGGAAGCACGATGCGCGACAGCCAACGGCTGATCGGAAGCCCGCGTGCGATAAGAGGCGTGACAACAGTACCTCCGGGGGTCGTGGAGAAGATGGTGCCTCCGGGCGTGGAGCTGTAGTCGATGGGCAGCTGACTGGCGTCGTTGATGACAACGCGCCTCGTGGGTATGCTGCGGCTGCTGCTAATTTTGTGGTCGGGCGAGCGTGCGGCCATCGTTGTGCGTTGTGCTGGAAGTACCCGGGGTTGCGGGAACTGGCCAAAATCGAGTCGTACTTGGGATGCCTAGTGCGTCGTGGGCTACCGCTGGCTGCAGAACACACACTCGGGGGTCGAGCAGCCACTCGTACGAGCTCTCAAGCCTCAAGCCTTCCAAGGCGGACGCTCCGCTATTTGCTGCGCTTCGCTCGGCAGGCGGCAGATGGCAAGACGGTGGCGAGCACGTGACTTAATGTGAGCTCAAAACATAGATGGCGCAAGTAGCTGTACAATTCCAAAGAGCCGCATTTATTTCATGTATCGTGATGATCACGGCAGTTTCGTTGGTTTCGTTCGTTTGGGACGTTTGGGACTTGGAGTTGACGGGAAAAGGCACCGCACAGAAAGGGGAACTCAAACTCGGCGGAATTTGTGTTTCCCTGCCCGTGCCTTTTTCTAGACTCTAAAGCTTTTCATTTCTCTTGACTGCAATCTCGGGTAGTTTCACCGGTTTAATAATAACAATAATAACCATTATTTGCTCAGGAGAGGCGCGGCACCGCAGAAAGGCAAAATGCCCATACCATGGAGATGGTGATTATGTCATGAAGTAATATACAAAAAAATATAATTGATTTCCAGTGCACGCGTGTGCTCTTACTGTCTTGTCCCTAATTACTCGTTGCCACGCTGTGATGAACTATAAAAAAGTTTATGGGCGCGGTTTTCGAAAGCGCTTCACTGACTCATGCGCCGCATCAGCCTTGTCCGCTTCCTTTAATATATGCCTTAGAAATTATTTTATCTTGTCGTGTTCACTGACATCTCAGGTGTGGTGCATCTAATGATGTGTACACATCGGTACAGTTGATCATGATCCTGACACACCCCTGATCAGGTATCTTTTCCAAAAGCTAAAATGGCTAAAGACTCGTGTTTGTGGACATCATTGAGCAACCCTCATGCATATTTTCCGTGGAGAGAACACTGCGCTTGCCTTACATAATGAACGCAAAGTTTTCAAAAGAGAGCTGACTAACTTCGAATGCCCCCAAGAATGTTGACTCTGGCAAGTCTGGTAAGCGAAGAAACCCGCCGAGCAACTCGACTCGAAAAAAACAAAATGATGTAAATCTGCAGTTTCGTATTTTTAAATACTTTGCGAACAGGTACTACAAAATTTATATAAATATTAATAATACTGTGTTATATAAAAATAAGTAGCAATATTTTTATCGTATATCTTATTATCAGAAGTGTAAAATAATTGAGTACGCAACCGTCTACATCCGGGATTTAGCTTGAAAAATCCTTCAGTGCATTAATGGCGGCCCTTGGTGGCATGTAAATGGTTTGAATTATTTTGTGGAAATTGTGTGGATAACCCAGCTGTACCATAGAGTTCCGTCGCTTTTAACGGACATAGAACCTGATGTGACTCTGGTTGATGTAAAAAAAATGCAGAATGTAGTTCATGGAAATGCGTGCGATGCCGTGAGAGAGGAACCCCAGGAGGTTAGTAAAGGACGTACAGGAACTACCGATCATTTCGAGACGGGCCAGAGACAGAGTCTGAATACCCTGCATTCCAATTTTATGGCAGATTTAACGGAAAGCGACGACGACGAGGCATCCGAGGTAATCCTTCCACCTTTTCCCTTGTTCGGGCCTATGTGTGCGCGACCGAGCCATACGACTGGAGAAAATGTTGAGATGGTTAGGCTTAGAACAGCCTTTTTCTGCCCGTGACGCACGGCAAACTGTTTTCTCGAGTCGTTCGCGAAGTCGCTGAGTTATTAAAAACGTGTCCCACTCGCGAAGTCTTTGTCGCGGCGGCTAGTGCGGGCAAGAAACACGGGGTTTTCGGCCCATCTCCCGCCGCGGGGCCAAGAGTTCGGACACGAGGGGGTCTCGAACCTGGCGCAGTTCGCGACCCGAGGCGTTGCGACTGAGCGGTCTCGTCAGCAGGCCAGCGAGCCGCCGAGGGTCTCAGGTGAGACGCCGCCGACCACTCGCTTTGTCTCGAATACATGCCAGAAAAATTGTCCATCGCAGCCCCCTCTAAGCCTATCGCCGATGTTTTTTTTTTTTTTTTCCCTTTCTTTTATTCTCTTCCTCGCTTCGCACCCTTCTCCTTTTTTCCCCCCAGGATACTGCGGTAGGTAGCCTTCGCGAAATGGTTTTGCTGGGCGAGTGTGCAGTGTTGTATTGTGCGCAGCGACCTGCGTCCGACATTCCGGCGCAAGCGTGTCGCGTTTCTCCGAAACAGCGCGGGCGCTGCCGTAAAGTTTTCGCTGCCGGAGAGAAAAGCCAACAATAACAAAAAAAAAAGAAAAAAAAGAAACCGCGAGCAAGATGCAGAGGAGAGCGCCCCGAGTTTTCGCTCGCCAAGCGCCCGCGGTCCCCTCGGACTAACCACGGAGACCGTATCACTGCGGGTTCTACCAACGATGCCCGTAGCAGAGTTCGGTCCCGCAGCTCCCGACAGAGGCCCCCGACACGCGGCCATGGGGTTTGCGCTGCGTTTCGGGCGGACCGTGCAACCCAACGCGGCTCCTGCTCTTTTCTTTTCCTTTTTTTCTCTTCATTGATACTTCCCTTCGAGGGGAGGGGGGACGGGACATCGCGCTAGGCCTAATTTTCCCGAGTCTGCCGTATTGTGTCCGCCGCGTTGGAGCGGCGAACGTCCCAGCGCTTCGCAAGGGCGCCCGTCGCGATCCTTCGTGTCGCCGCGTTGCCACGGGGTCGCCGGGGGCCGACGCTCGCGCGAGGGTCGGCCACCAGCGAGAGGGGGGCTGTCCTTCTGCCGGACGTCGCCACGGCGGCGTGTGTGTCTGCTCATCTCCAAGTTTTTCACGCTAAGAAGTCCGCAGCGTGAGCGCTTTTTGCGTCGGTGTTTGGGCGACACGTGGCTGCGTCGCGGTTTATCGGTGTTGTGAGGGCGGCCGTCGACCCGTCCGCTTCGTGAAGCTCCCGAGCGACGGTGTCTACCTCCGCTGTCGTCGTCGCGGGCTTCCGGAGGGGAGCGACGGGGCACCCGGAATTCTCCGGCTCTTGCAATGGGCTGCGTATAGTACTCCGAAGTCGCGGCCGCTATAAACACCTCAGGGGTCCCCGTACCCCATGCTGCCGCTCTGAGCCCGTTGTGGACGTTTGTTGTGCCGATAAAACGCCATTTGCATTCATTGCTCCAACCTGGCTGCCGCCTGTGTTGCACCCTGCCGCGGGAGTGTTTAGAGCTTAGAACTGGCCTAGCGTTGTTAGGCAGCGTGTTGCATTCATTCGGCGATGCCTAGCCTGGTTGTTCAAAACGCTGTGCTCGCTCTGCAGCGGCGGTTTTGCTGGGCCTGCGTCAAATGAATTGGGTGAGATGACTGAGTTATTTTACTGAAGCGGCACCTCGGTCAAACTTCGAAGATATCACATTGCAGTTGCCCGTGTTCAAAGTATCTTCTTTCATAGTTACTTGCTCCAAAAAAAGAACCATAAGAGAAAAAAAAACGTTCCTATGTGGAAGATAAGGAGTGTGATAAGCTTGTGAAATATGTGCATCTATTAAAGACGGGAAACTAATAATCGTGCAAAGTGTGTGTACGTCAAATGCAGGAAGTTTTAGTAAATGTACAACATATGCATATGTCAAAGGCAAAAAGTTGCTCTAGAAGTGCAATTTTTTTCTTTTTTACGTTCTGAACCAACATTATAAATTCAGGGTGATGAAATGCTGCTGAATTTGCCGATACGGGCAGATATCCTTGCAGATAAGATTCCTCGCCGTTCCTCCCTTGGAAGTGTCGAGCTTTTGTTTGGTTTTTAGATGTCTTTTGAGGCAACTAGTATTGGAATATCGCAGGAGTGCTGGAGCTCATTGTCGAGTCTTCCGAGGATGGCTGCTTTTGTAGCAACAGCTCAGAGTCCGGGTTCTAAAAAGAAGCGTAGGAGCCCCCAAACAAACTGGCAGCTAAGCACCTGCGGCACATTGCCTTGAGTGGGAGTTTGTCGTCGCATAGCCGAGCATACTGGAGGCAGCTTGCGCCGGAGTCGCCTAGAGCCAGTAAATAAGCTACGCTTCAGAGTGACGACACTTGAGCCATGAACGGTTTGATGGATGGATGCTAATGGATTTCCCCTTTGTATCAGGCAGTAGCTTGTGCCATTTAGCCTAAAATCCTTTCTTCCCCTCCTTTTCAAATTTTGCACACCAGCAAACTTTTGTCCTCTGTTTTTATTTTTTCTATTTTAAATATTTATGACTACAACACGCCCTCTTTAACCAGTCTATCAAAATAATTGTTGGCAGTTGTCTGAACTCTCAGGTGAAACAATCGCCCATTGCGTCCTTTCTGCTTTTTTTCATTTCATTTGTTTTTTGCAAAGTTATTGAGAGGTGAGGTCCATGTCAGCCTTTTTGGTGCATTGAACTCCTCTGTGGCTTCTCGTAAAACAATCCTTTAAACACGGCGAATTTCTGGGGTTGTGGATATAGATAGCAGTTTGCAAGTGGAGGGATCTTTCATCATTGGCATGCTGTCAGCAGCACATATAGTAATGGGCATGGAAGAAAAAAAATAAAGCTTTGCAGGGGATCTTATAATTACCGAAATGAGGCAATCTCATAATATAGGAAAAACGAGCCACATGAGTAGGTTGAACATAATTTTATGGCCCCTTGCCCTGGCGAATAGCGAGAGCTCGCAGATTTGGGGCTCTGAGCGTTTGGTCTCAGTGGTGGAGCGACGGCTCTTGGGCGTACAATGCAGCAGACACAGCTGCTCTGCTTGCTAGAATTTCTGCTGTGCGTCTGCCAGCGCCGCTGTTACAGCGCAGTTCGGCTGTTCTCTGCGCCGCCGCTGCCCCTCCGACGCCTCACCAGCCCGACGTACAACACAAAAGTCATTGTGCTGCATGAACACAGCTCATATTTTTTGCCTTAGCTTATAATGCAACTATGGGGGTATGCCTATTTGCCAATGACAAGTAGGCATACCCCCAAGTAAGAGTGACGTTTTGCACAACTTGATCATTTGGACGGAACTTCTACACATTGGCACCGCTTTGTATTGCTTCGCCGACCTTCGAATAGCTTGTGACGGCACTGAACCCCTCTGATATTCTCATAACTTACTATCGTCAAGTGCTGCTGGTGCAATCCCTATCTTAACCGCGACATTCCTAATGCAAATATTGCAACGGAAATGTTGCAAATGTCTACGGATCAAACTGTTTCAAAACAAGCAGCGCAGAAAACCTCTGTGGATCACTCGACGCGCTCTGCCATGTTCCCGCAAATCAGTTGTAGCCGCTCGGCGAGTGCTCCACCGGCTTCAGATCTACAAGCAGCACACGGAGAGATCACTCGCATCTTGCGAGGGGCACAGGAATCTGCTCGGCGATCTCTTGCTACTTGCCTGGAGAGGGGGATATTATTTTACCCGTGTGAAGACGTAGCTTCCTCTACTTTGTTCCACTTTGCAGCAGTGGTAGAGCCAAGGCATATATCACAAGCTTCTTGCCTTAGATTGTGGCTCTGCTGTGCGAGCAAAGGAGCCTGCCAGAGCTACAGTGCCTGTTGCCTTAGTTCGACTGCCAGGCTTGAAGTAAGTTGGAGTATAAGGTAAAATAGCAGCGTCTTATTTCGGTACTATCCGCTCGCGATCAGTGCCATCCTTGACATGTTGAGTGGAACTGAGCAAAACACATTTTTAGGCAGTTTGAGATTTGAACAAAGGGCTACGTGTGAATGAATTCGAAGGGGGATATTATTGGTCCCCCCATTTTTCTCTCGGCCATCATCGAGTCGGGCGCATGTCGTGTTTCGGAAATCATTTGACTTTCCGGGAATCTAAAACTCTTCACTACCTTGCAACTCCCACGATAGGGAGTTGCAAAATGCTGGGGTCTTGCAGTTGCTTTGGCCTAGTGTGTTTGAACCTCCATCCAGGGGATGCACTAGATATTAGTTGGATGCAGTAATAAATTCTTGTTTGCTTTTCTGAGTTGCGTGGACTCAACGTCTTTAGCACAGGATTAAGTCGCCTCGAAATGTGGTCCTACGATTACTCCGTAAGAAGCAATGAGAGTGAGGTGCTTCAGCTTTTTGCTGTGTAGATTTCAGTGGTGATTTAATGACCCTTTGTTGGCTATCTCAAAGGGCTCTGTGCAGCAATGTATGAGATATGGTCCCGAATCTGGGACCTTGTGAAGGTTCCCACATTTTTGGGAAAGGTCCCACATTCCCACAATTAGGTATGTAGGAAGTCTACAATTTTGCAAATTAGTTATGTCTCGTTAATAAGGACACCTCCGTTCTCCCACAAAAAAGCACCCATGATCTGAGTAGCCCATAATAACGAGACAAAAATGCATGTACAGGGTGCTCAGGTATTTAGAACACAACTTCAGGGTACATAACTTTTTTTCATATTACTGCATCTGCTTGAACAATTGACTTCACCTTACACTACATCTATGTCATTTATCTAGTCATTTATCTATTTCAATATGGCAGCTTGCGG